ATTTTTAAAATATATGAACAGCTCATACAACTCAATATCAAAAAACAAACTACCCAATCAAAAAATGGGCAGAAGATCTAAATAGACATTTCTCCTAGAAGACATATGGATGGAAAACAGGCACATGAAAAAATGCTCAACATTGCTAATTATTAGAGAAATGCAAATCAAAACTACAATGAGATAGTAGTTTTGACTCTTCTGACTCTGGTCAGAACAGCCATCATTAAAAAGTCTACAAATAATAAATGCTGGAGAGGGTGTGGAGAAAAAGGAACCCTCCTACACTGATGGTGGGAATGTAAATTGGTGCAGCCACTATGGAGAACAGTATGGAGGTTCCTTAAAAAACTAAAAATAGGGCTTCCCTGGTGGCGCAGTGGTTGAGAGTCCACCTGCCGATGCAGGGGACACGGGTTCGTGCCCCGGTCCGGGAAGATCCCACGTGCCGCGGAGCGGCTGGGCCCGTGAGCCATGGCCGCTGAGCCTGCACGTCCGGAGCCTGTGCTCTGCAACGGGAGAGGCCACAACAGTGAGAGGCCCGCGTACCGCAAAAAAAATAACTAAAAATAGAGTTACCATATGATCCTGCAATCTTTCTCCTGGGCATATATCTGGAAGAGACAAAAACTTTAATTCAAAAAGATATATGCACCCCAATGTTCACTGCAGCACTATTTACCATAGCCAGGACATGGAAGCAACCTTAATTTCCATCAACAGATGAATGGCTAAAGATGTGGTACATATACACAATGGAAGACTACTCAGCCAGTAAAAAGACTGAAATAATGCCATTTGCAGCAACATGGATGGACCTAGAAATTATCATACTAAGTGAAGTAAGTCAGAAAGAGAAAGACAAATACCATATGATATCACTTGTATGTGGAATCTAAAATATGACACAAATGAACTTACCTACGAAACAGAAACAGACTCACAGACAGAGAACAGACTTGTGGTTGCCGAGGCAGGGGTGGTGGTGCAGTGGGGATGGAGTGGGAGGCTGGGCTTAGCAGATGCAAACCATTACATACAGAATGGATGAACAACAAGGTCCTACTGTAGAGCACAGGGAACTATATTCAATATTCTGTAATAAACCGTAATGAAAAAGAATATATATGTGCAACTGACTCACTTCGCTATACAGCAGAAAGTAACACAACACTGCAGATCAACTATACTTCAATAAAATACATTTTTTAAAAAAGAATTTTTACTCTATTAGCACAACCAGCTTATCCCTTTTCTTTTCCCTTTGTAACAATAACATTATATTTCTAGACCATATAGCTGCTGAAGGTGTAGCTTATTCGGGATGGCCATTATCCATCTTCTGGATTTTAGCTGAGCCCAGCTAAAATCCAGAAGTGCCATTATCCAGGAAGAAGGAGAAAATAAATTTGGGGGACAAACAGCAGTCTCTGACACACTGACATTTAAAAATCGGGACATTTTAGGTTCTGGGGCACCTTGATTATAAGTAAAACTAACATGCATGGAGTACCTCTATGTGCCCTCCTTGTATCAGCCATATGAAGGCGGTGCTCCAGAGACTGGGGGCCGGCATTCAAACTTGCCCCTAGGGAAGGCAAAGCCAAGCTCCTTCCCCTACTCTGTCTGTGTGCTGGATGGCCACGCTGGAGAAAGCTTCAGAATGGCCCAGTGAGTAAATGTCACAGCCCCACCCCCTAGAGGGTGACATCATCCCACCGTCTGGAGCAGACAGCGTTCCTGCTCTCAATTCCTTTCCTCCTGATCCTTGAGGGCCCCCAGGCACAAGGCTTCCTTCCAGAGTATGCTTGCTCCCATCTGGTCCTGGCGGGGCGGGAGGGGCACCATGGAAGGTGCTTGAGGGTACCGTTGGCACCACCCTTCCCTCAGGCCCTGGAAAGGCCACCTGGCCACCTGTTGCCCTAGCTCCCCAGCCCTGCTAGCCCCAGAAGCCAAGGAGCCTAGCGGGGAAGCTGAGCTGGCAATGGTGAGGCTGTCCCTATGGGAGGGTGCTGGGCCCCCCCAGGGCCACAGCTCCTGGCTGCTCTGACAGTGCAGTGTCTGCCTTCCACCTCTCAGAGGGTCATAAATATTGCTCCCGGAGATTAGCTGGGCCCCATGCTCCGGTCTGCAGCCTCGCCAAGGGGCGCGAGGAAGGACTGAGTCATGGCCCCCAGGTCTTTCTAAATTGGACTTAAAATGAAAAAATAAGTAACAGAGGGAAAGGGCCTGATTGTTTTTAAGAGCAGAAGAATGAGCTTTCTTTGTGCTTGCACGTCTCCAGGAGGACCCCGGGGAGTGAGCTCAGAGCAGCCGCTCCCCCTCCCCAAACTTCACCTTCAGGGTGAAGGTGAAGTCTGGGGAGGCAAAGAAAATATTGTGATAAAGTCTAAGTTACTGCTGATGCCTGCCGGGCCACTTGACGAAGTGGACTGAGTGCAAACAAATCTCCCAGCTCCTTCCTCTCTGCAAATGTTGGTGGGGGGAGGCCAGGCCTGGGCTCAGAGCCAGCCCCTCACTGGCCAAGCCCTGCTTGGCACCCTTGAACATTTCTCCTCTTGTTTCTTTCTCCAGAGTACACGGGACTCACTAAACAACCTGTGGGACCCAGTGCAAAGTGAAAACGCAGGGCCCTGGTTCGAACAGCAGGAAAAAAAGCGCTGCTACAGGTACTAAAGGTACTAAAATATAAAGGTTTTTCCCTTTCTTCTGCGGTCTCTCTCTCTTGACTTATTACGGTGTTTTTTATTCGCCACTTAATGTTCTAAGTACAGGGAAACATTTTAATTTTAAACTATTACATTCAATTATATTAAACTCATAGGATATTAAATTCATGAATGGCATGCATTTTTGCCATTATTTTTTATATGGCACAATCCCAATACTAAATAGAAGAGCATTTAACCTGTAAGCAGAATCACCAAAATTACACAACTTCTATTTCCTAGCTCATATATGCATGTGTACCAGAGGAGTGGAAACGCCGCACAAAATGAACTCAACTGTTTTACAGTTGACCCTGAACAACATGGGCTTGAATTGTGCAGGTCCACTTATTGGAGGACTTTTTTTCATTAAAAAAAAAAAACCTAAAACAAAAAAAACCACATGATCCCCGGTTGGTTGAATCCACAGATGCAGAACCAAGGATAGAATGGCTGATAGAACGGATCCATCAGTCACAGTCACATTTTGGATGGATCTATCCAAAATCCATCAGTGGATTTTGGGATCTGCAGCAGGTCCTGGAAACAGTCCACCCCCGACACTGAGGGGCGAGGGTCTTTCACTTCTTGGTATATTCTACAGACACTCTCTCCACCTTCCACTTACTGGTGAGTAAGGAAGGACTGACAGGCGAAGGAACCGTAGGTTTCATACTGTCTTCCCCTTTCCTTCCAAGTCATCATTTTCAGTGTAAATGGTTGACTAATACAAGGAAGTAACACGCGTAAGGAGGGGTTGCTTGGTTGTTCGTGTTTCTTTCTGCCTTTGCCTTCTTTCTGCATTGAAAGCAAGTTCTGGTTCTGACAGAAAGCTGACAGCGCCCCCAGTACGGCTCAGTTATGTAGGTAACACACTTGCCTTGGACTTGCTTTGAGTCTCACTGACCTGCCGCGTGTGGTGGGTACCCGGGGATTCTGATGTCACGGGGAATAACGAACACGTATGGAATGGAACGGTGCTGTGCACGCGGCGCGCATCTCCTCTGGGCACGTACACGCACGCTTCTTGTCCCATCGGACTTCACGTAGAAAATACAAATTCAAGGACAACTTTATTAGGAATTTTAAGATGATGAACGTGCCAAGTGCAGGGCCTATCTGAGCACGAGGCCTTGTGCAAGAGCACAAGCTGCACAGCCATGAAGCTGAGGACACGTTTATTTTTCTGACTCTCAACATACGTATATTGTGGACAAATTAAGAAGCACAGTCAAGCAAAATGTGAATGGACAATTATCTCCTAGAGATAACGACCATTAACGCTGGTCATGTAACTTTCTGGATGTTTCTCGAGGCCTGTGACACCAGATAACTTACGGAAACTCTCTGATGAATTCTCTAATGGCTTCCCTTCTGCCTAGACCACAGCACACGCTCCCTGCAGGCCAGCCGGCCCAGCACTAGCCCGTCTTCTGCCCCCTGCTCTGTCCCTCCCTCACTCTGCCCCAGGCACTGGGCCTCTTTCTGAGAACAAAGCCTTCTTGCTTTTGCACCTGCTGTTGCCTGCACCTAGGATCCCGTCCACAGCTCCTATGTGACTGTCTCTTCACCTTCAGGTCCCAGATCCACTGTCACCTCCTCTGAGAGCCCTGCTCTGACCACAAAGGGCCTCCCGGTCATTCCTCATGAAAGGTCAGACCGGTAACTCCCACCAGGGCTACGCTTGGTACTGACGGGGGTCAGATTGAGTTTCTGAACCAATCACGATGGGGGTTAGATGTTTACCATTGGCTTAGGCTGGGTGGGCCACCTTTGGCCCACTGGCTTTGTGAGTAAAGTTTTATTGGAACACGGCCAAGCTTATTTATGTGTCATTTGCAGCTGCTTTCCTGTCACAACATCAGAGTTGATTAGTTGTGACACTGTGTGGCCTACGAAGCCTTAAATATTTACTATCTGGTCATTTATTGAATATGTTTGCCGACCCCTGGGTTCAATTAAGTAGAGCTTTCTGCTGGATCTAGGGGTGGGGTCAGCTTCCCCGGAGTCTCACGGCTGCATCAGAAAGGGATCAATACCTAAACAAAGTGGGGTTGGCAAGAAGAAAGAGGAAAGGGGGTGTAAAAGCTGAGTGGTCAACCACCATTTTCAGTAAAGACACACGTACAGTAAACATAAAGTGTGTTCCCCTTTATGGCAGTGCTGTGATTTATTTAGTAAATCTTATAAGAAGTGATATCTAGATTGCTTCTAAATTTTTATCATTACAAATATTACTGTGATGTACATCCATATGCATACATCCCTTGAACCCTGCCCACTTTTCCTTACCTAGATGGGTGGTCGCAGTAATGGGCCTGAGCTGTTCTCCTGTGGTACCAACCTCCGTCATCTTCCAGGGTGGGTGGGGAGATCAGAGTCTGGCCTCATCCTCCAAGGTGAGTAGGAGGGTACCTGTTGAGGTGACGGGCCGCATGGAAGGCTGATGTCAGTGGAGGGGCTCCGTGTGGGTCACTGCAGCCTCACAACACACTTGGAAGCCTGGCTTTCTTGCTGCTCTTTTATCCCAAGGAAATGGAGGCTCAGAGATGCACAGTCACTCACTCAAGGTCACACAGCCCATCAGTGGCCGAGCAGGGAATCAGATTCGAGGCGTCCTGTACTATGTGGTCGTACTGGGGAGCTGGGGAACGGCACTGCATTGCTGGACTGGCCTGTGAGGCTCTGGGATGATTATAGAGGGTTAAAAACATCCCAAACACAAACCCCCTCTTACACCCGCTGGATGCTGCTGTGAACTTTTCAACCAAAACCCAAGTATTTTGTCCTGTACTTGGAGATTAAACCACAAGTACGCCTCTCCAGGGAGGAGCAACACGCCAGCCCAAATTGCTAAGGTACTCAAGAATGGGACGGAAATGTTCTACACGGGGCGGTCGAGGGGAGGAATTGGGGGTGCGTCCAAAGGCTCTGGGATGGGAGACAGACAGCCAGGCCCCGAAGACAGAGGTTGCCCCTTCCCAAGGCAGTCGGGGCCTGCTGATAGCCTTTTCCTGGCACCTCCTGGTGGGGAGATTGTTTAATGACGGGCCCTGGCAAAACCACTTCGACCAGTGCTTCAGTTTCCCTCTTTTATTATAAATTCGCTTAAAATATTTGGGCACTCCCCAAAGTACCCAGAGATCTGTGTTGGGGACTCAGCACCACCCACACTGGTGCTTGCCAAATTCAAGCCATCCCAGCCGGTCCTTGGGATTTGGGCCACATCTGAGTACCAGCTCCACTATTACATAGATAGATAGATAGACAGATAGATAAATATGTGTGTATTTAAGTTGACTCATTTTTTTCGCTTAATAAATGTACTTTAAAGGAAGCTTAAAATCATTACTATTGATAATAAATTAGTACCATTTGTCATAGAAAGAAGGTAAACATGAAAGTGCATAACCATTTTCTTAAACATGTCCATTAATGCAACACCTGACTGTCCCTGGTGCCACCAGGGCCACATGTCCACCTTTCGGGATCCATGACTTGGCACACGCAGTGCTTCCGAGGCCACACAGATACGTGGACCCTGAGCCCGAACTCGCTCACATCTCCCAAATGCCCTCCAGTGGCCCGAGTTTCTTGCTGGCACCTGCCCAGATTCTTTTCACTTGGCCTCACCTCCCCCATCCACCAGCCGCAAGCCTGGGGTGCCAGATTTCATGGAGATTTTCTCCCAGCCCCTAGGGGAGGTTTTTCCGGAAATGAAGCCACAGTCATCGGCAGATGTGGTATGAATTAGGAGGGGCTGAGCAATCTGCCAGCCTCCTTTCTAACCCAACCCCATCACCTGGAGCTGGAAACCCTTACCTCTCTGGTCTGGCAGGTAGACAGGCCGGTTGCCCCACGTGCACCTCCGCTCACGTGTCCTTCTCCAGCAGCATCTGTCCCATGTTGTGTCTCCCTGGCTTTCAACACTCCCACAGCACCACACTGCAAAGGGAACCAGGCTCTAAACTCATCCAGAAATGGAGGGAACTTTAAGCCTGGCCCTGATCTGTCTTTCCAGAAATTTCTTCCACTACTACTCACCCAGAGGAAGGTTGGTTGGGGGTTTTGAGGGGAGGGATAGGTCAGGGTATACAAGGGTCTAAAGACAAATGCAGGCAGACCTATGCCCCTTCTTTACTCCTGCCTCAGCCCATGCAGAGGAAACTGTGCCCTTTCTGAAGAAACGTTTCCACAACTCTCCTTCCTAAGGGAATAGGAGTGACACCCAATTGGTGGTAGAAAAACAGCTGAGTATTTATTGGGACTCTCCATCCCCCACCCCCTTCCTCCCTCTCCCTTGTGGGTAAGCCTGCAGTGGCCAGTTCTGCCTGTGTCCGGACCCCTGAAATTCAGTCCGGGCAGTAGTAGAAAGAAGCCTGACCGTGGCCACACATCCAAGGCCCGTTTTCCAACTTCCATCATGAATTTGTTGTTGTTGTTTCTCCTATGTTCAACAGACTGTGATTGATTGAACCTCAGGATCCGTTCCCCTTCGCTTCCACAGTAACTGAAGATTTTCACTGTGCACTGGGCTGCCCAGAATAATGACGACATTTCCCATCCGCCCCTGCGTTTAGTGTGGTCACGTGATTAATTCGGCCTTCTCCTGTGAATTAAAGGGGCACCCCCAACTTCCAGACAGTAACTTGCAGTGGAAAGGGACCTGCCTTTCCTCTAGCTGGCTTTACCAGAATAAGGCTGGGGTTTTGGTCCCTAACTGCCTTTGTGTCTCTATCTCATCAAGCTCAGGGCTTGAGGGAAAGAGTGTTTCAAATGGCAACAATGAATACTATCATGATCCACTGTGAGTAGCTACCACCCAATGAGGTAGGCAGTCTCTACTCAGCCTAACAATAATAATATCAGCATCACATTGATAGTGACTTATTGCTTACTCCCTTCCAATCCATGAACACAGCCCATGCATGATTTGGTTTAGTCCTGAGAGGCTGGTTTTATTAACTCCATAGGAAACTAAGGCTCAGAGAGGTTAAGTAACTCGGCCAAGGTCACACAGCTAGCAAGGTTCAACTCAAGATTATCTGTGAGGCCAACGCTCTTAACGACACTATTTTGCCTACCCCAAATAGCAACTGCTACCATTTTTTGAGTGCTCGCTTTATGCCAAGGGCTCAATAAAGCCCTTTACATATATTAATGAATAATCCTCCAGCATATCTACAAGGCAGACATTCTCCGCCCGACCCCCCCTTTGCAGATGAGGACACAGCTATGGAGAGGTGAGGAGACGGCGTCTACTGCTCTGAGAAGAGGCGTGCATCTCCCAAGGGGCAGCTCTTGCCTGCTCGTGAACCTCCCAACAAGCTGACCTCTGAATCCAACTGGTATTCCCCACCCTCCACCCCCAAGGCCATAGCTTACTTATGAGGCCACAGAGGAATGACCGCATTTCTCAACTTCCTGAACCCAGAGGCCACACCCCCAGAGGCAGAGGCTGTTGCCTTTGTGAAGAGTAGTCAGGCTGGGTAAGGGAACAGCTCCATAATTTCCAGCTTGGCAATGGTCCCCGGGATGGCCTCCTGGCCCTCACTCTCTCTCACTGCATCCCAAATTCCATAACAAACCAGGGTCTGGGCCCCGAGGCTGGTTATCTAGTTCAGGTGTCTGCAAACTACTGCCCAAGGGCCATATCTGGCCCATTGCTTGTTTTTGTACCACACAGGGACTGAGAATGGTTTTCACATTTTTAAGTGGTGGGAAAAAAGTTAAAAAAGAATAATAGTTCATGATGTGAAAATTATACGGATTTTTGACTGCCTCTAACCACAGAATGTGGCAGAAGTGACACAGAGTGACTTCTGAGGCCACGCAGCTTCTGCAGTTTGCCTTTGGGACATGTACCTTCGAAGCCCTGAGCTGCCATGTAAGAAACTCAGCCACCCTAAAGCCACCACACTTGACATACCATGAAGGGAGATCACCCAGAGATAGAGAGAGCTGCCTGGGGAGCCCCAGCTGTTTGAATGCACAGCCACCTTCAGCACCAGCATCTGCATCAGCATCAGCATCTGCATCAGCATCAGCATCAGCATCTGCATCTGCATCAGCATCAGCATCTGCATCAGCATCTGCATCAGCATCAGCATCTGCATCAGCATCTGCATCAGCATCAGCATCTGCATCAGCACCAGCATCTGCATCAGCATCTGCATCAGCATCAGCATCTGCATCAGCATCAGCATCTGCATCAGCATCTGCATCAGCATCAGCACCAGCATCTGCATCAGCACCAGCATCTGCATCTGCATCAGCATCAGCATCAGCATCTGCATC